TTCGACCTCTTCGCGGTTGATCTCGATTCCTTGTCCTGGCCTACACAGCACGCGCGGCTCGCGGAGATCATATCTGGCTAACCATAGGAGACCAGCACGACGCCGAAAGCGATCTACTACGTCGTCACGACGAGTGTTATCCCAAAAGAGATGCCCCTGAGAGTGTTGGCAAACATCGGAACTGCAGTGCAAGCAAAAGTACACACCAGGTCGGGATTGAGTAACCTGCTGAGAGCATGATGGACATATTTCGAGGTCCGAGCTGTATGCGTGAAGCTTGAAGTCATGCGTTACAGTGATGGCGTAAGTTTCTTGTTCTGGATGGGAGAAGTCAGGCCCTTTCACAATGCGAGCAACGATGGCGGCAGTGCAGAAGCACATCTCTTCTTTGCATGCATCCAGGACTTGCATGATGAGCTCGGTATCTGGACCATCATAGTCGACCCTGACCTTGTCGCCACCCTTGCAAAGCGCTAGCAAAGAGTAAATGCGGTCCCGTCGAAGTGTGCAACATTTTCCTTGGAACCATCGTAGGAGGTAGATCAATCCATGGGTGGCCTGCCGCCTTTCGTTCTGCAAGATCGAGCAGCTGGGGCCATTCTCGAGGTAGTCGTCCTGTGACCAGTACAACAAATACGCATATTCCATGATAGAACTAAAATGTAACTCCTTTGTCGAGTGCACACAGTAGTACGCGAGTGGCAGGAAGTCGATGACGTGTTCTCCAGCCATCACTACTAGCGCGTTTGCTAGCATCATTTCCTGTGCGACCCAGGCCCTTTGCCAGTACGCATTGTTTGCAATGAGATCGTAATGTTTCTTAATGAGTGAAGAGTCCGAGATCTCGGAGTCGTACGTATTCTCTTGACTGAGATCGTAAGCTGGGACGGAGCGACTGCTGGAGTCCGGCTCTGCGTTCTGAGAGCTGCTCCCCTGAGGTGAATCACCGTGCTTGCTGTGATAAAAATCCTCCCAAGTCTTCCAGGCCTGGCGGTCGAACTTCTGCCCCACCGCTTGAACGAATTCTTGCGTCTCGAAATTATTGCCTAGCCACGACACGACCAATCTCGCGCCAGCAAAGATATCACCCATCTGCTGAACTTGATGATTTCGTTCTTCGATATCGGCTTGATTTATGCACAACGCGTCTATCCACAATGTGCAGAAAGTGAGACGCTGGCGTGCCGCTTGGAGGAAGTCGTAGAGGTTTTGGCGCACATAGTGTAGCTTTCCATCGAGCTTGATAGGGAACTCGTGCCCTGGTTCGCCCCAGGTATATGAAAGACAGACATAGTTCGATTCTTGAACTAGCGCATTTTGTAGGTAGCAGTCGGGGAGGCCGTCGACGGAGAAATCAGGTCTGACTTGTATCAATCTGAAGGAGCCCTTCACTTTTGGTAAAGGGAAGTGCTGGAATATTTCTGGCTGGGTCTTCGGGTTGGCCTCGATGCCCGTCATGATTGATATGGTTGATGTGGCTGATACTGCCGGGCAGACTGTTGGCCTTGGTATTGAGCTGAGCGATGTCTCAAAACAGTGAATGACTGAGCGTTATAGGTATCAGCAATGCCGATCCTCGCGATGTGCGGCGGAGCGCTGTCATGGACTGTGTTTCGGATCGTTGCAATTTATGCTGAAGAGCAAATTAATGGCAGGTAATGTCATCTTGAAGACGTGGTGTGTTAATGCAAGGTACCTGCCGCGGGGCATCGTAGGCGGCACGGGACGCTAACCTCAGCCTAGACGCGTCATGTTCACGGTCGCGACGCGACCATCCCGCCACCCATTATCGCCCAACGACGAAGTCTCTGCTTCATAGAGCACGCTTCTGTTTCAGATAGAAAAGTATGGGTACACACAAAAGTCCCAAGCCACCAAAGACGGTAAAAGTCCACCCGTATCCTATCTGGCGCACCATGGTCTCCAAAGCCGCCACGCCAGCACCACTGAGAGCGCATCTCACGAGGCTATAACTCGCTTGTACAGTCGAACTTCTCCCGGGATTCAGATCTGTGAGCAGCGTCCCGCATGTCGCGAAAATACATACCTGAGCCGCTCCGGAGAAGAACTGGACCACTAGCAGTATAGCGATGTGCGACCTCGTGTGCAATACCCAACCGTACCCCATGGTAGCCACCGCACTGGCGATTACCACCGGAACTATCGATCGCAGTCTAGCCTTTGCAAAGGGGAAGTCGTTGCCCAAATGAGATGTGTATGGGAGGCCTAGTCTGCGCGCAGTGACTTTGTGGTCGTGATCGAGGAGTTTGCCGGACGCATACGACGAGAGGATACCGCCAATGCCGTTCGGAAGGTAGGTCAATCCCGCCGTAAGGTAATTCATCCCATACTCTGCGATGACTGCCGCTGAGAGGGAAGCCGCGAGACACGTATACATAGTGTAAGTGATGCCGCCAGCTAAGATGACGATGAAGTTGGCTTGGTTCCTGAGAGCCGACAGTGATTTGAAAGGCCCTAAGAAGGCGGAACCACGACTACGAGAAGATGTAGCTGCCGGAGGCCTGGTACTACGCCGGCATACGAGCGAATATATGGATCTGTTCATGAGGCGCGCTGGTTGGAGACTTCCGTTTCCTACAAGGCATCTTTCGGTCTCCGGAAGGAACAGCGCAAGTGTCACCAGCAAAGTTCCGGCAACGATGACCAAGAGCCAGAAGATCCATTTCCACGATAGCTTTTCTGAAACTACTCCACCAATGACAGGCCCCAAGCATGGTGCAGCGTTGGTAGCACCCATTAACACACCCACGTAAGATCCTCTTTCTGCAGGTATCGAGATGTCTGCGATGATACCGAAGGCGATCGCGATGGTACTTGAAGCACCAGCACTTTGCAGACATCTCATCACTATGAGAGTCGCATAGTGCTGCGTAAGAGCCAGTCCTATGTTTGCCCCGACGTAAATGCAGAGGGTCAAAAGAAGTACGGGTCGTCTACCGATGTCGTCAGCCAGACTGCCGAAGACCGAGGGTGCAATTCCCGATACTATCAAGTACGAGGTGATAGACCAGTTGACTTGTTCGATTGAAACGCCTAACGAGTTTGCGATGGCTGTGACTGCGGGGAAGTATATGAACGAAGAGATTGTTGAGAATACCGCTGCTGTGGAGCAGGCACCTAGTAATAGTCGCTTTTGAGTAGTAGTGAACGTGGTGTATGGGGTATCCTCGTCATTTGCGTTCTCTTTTCCTTGATCTGCGAGCGCACTCGCGACCCCTTCTTCTTCTGCGGCCCCGTTACTTTCGTTCTTGACCATTCTGATCGGGAAGCCGTGTTATTCAGAGCCGAATGCCTCCAAGAGGGTACAACAGAGAAAAGTGACACCTGACTCATAAGACACGCTTTGACGTCTCTGCAGTCTAGTCTTGCGGCACAGTTGCTTCGAGCACATCAAACGCGGGGTAAGCAGTCACTCTGAAAAGTGCAAACGAACGGACCTGAAGCCAGCCATTGACGAGATCGCGTTTGAATTCCAGAGGCCACGTTATGAAGACGCTTGTCGGGCTTGCCGGTCTTCGTAGCCGCCAGGAAACTTCTTGACGAGTGTTCTCATCTCAGCTTTGGCTCTGGCACCAGTCAGCCTAATATCAGAGGTAAACCTTCTTACACATACCTATCGTGAAATTCGGGCTTGTCGGGATAAAGCGCGGAGACTAGAAGATCATAGCGACTAATCCTCGTGAGCAAAACAACCCCCTTGTATGGGATAGTACTTACATGGCGTAAAGTCTGTTACGATCGTCCCAGTCCCCCTTCGGCTGCGAAGGCTCTACGACTTTCTTATAGCAAGTAAAGAACTTCTCGCCCATATTGTACCGGGGAGCACGCCAACTACCCAAGTCACACTCGTTATGACCCCAGAAAGCACACGAATCAAAGATAATGATCTTGCCAGTCTCTTTCTCCAGCACGCAGTTTCCAGGCCAAAGATCTGAATGCAATAGGCAGGGTTTGATCGAGCGACCGCCGGTTTCCAGAGGACGGAGCAACCTAGGTATGACTTTTGAGCAGAGAGCTTCGAAGATGATCTCTAATTCTTCATCTACTCCGTACTTGCTCTTCTCTAGATCATACATGGTCTGCATGGCTTTGGTGTACCAGAATTCCCATGAGTCTTCCCATGTGTTGTCATTCGGTACGTGAGCAAGGTGAGTTGGAATGTGGAATCCGTATTTGCCGAGCGATGATTTTCCCATACTTGCTTTGTGCACCCCAGTAATGATGTCGACAAAGGCACTTGGATCCAGTTTCTCCATCGCCATGTCGTGGAAGTCGCAGATGTAGAACCATGTGTCCGGGTGGTCTTTATAGGCTCCCCAGGCAATCGGTGTTGGAACATGTTCGGGGCAGTAAGAGTGATAAAGTAGTTCGGATTCGTAGGTACCTTGCATCATTCGCTTTCCTAGTTCGCCTGTTTTGATCTGCGGTCCTATTAGATGGGATCTTTCGTGTGACAAGACACACAACCTACCTTGACGAAGTACTGCCTTTCCGAGCCATCTTGTAGGTTTGCATCGATGCGGAAACTCTCACACCACGCGCTTTCACCGGACTGTCTGATTGATAGTATCTTCACATCCTTTGGTAGTGCTGCGTATGGTCTTTAGCTGCAAGGAAGTCGAAGTAGTTGTTTGACTAGAAACGTACCAGCCAACACGCTTGCGTCCAGTTGTTCGATATGGATGGGGTTCTTCTCACGCTCAGCTCGTTTCCTTGCGGCCACCTCGTCGGCGGGATTCGTAGACATTATTTTTGCTTGGGATTGCTATAGTAGCATTGTGTGACGATTCGATAAGACCAACTGCGGAGTCATCGTGCGAACGTGCGGCGCAGTCCTGCGCTAACTCCAAGGATATCGTGCACTGGATTACGTCAGAGACAAGAAGCCCGATTCCATACTCGTCACAGGGCCAGCACGTTTGTTTCGATATGACCAGTTGATGAGTACCCAATACACATTTTGTTTGAGTAAGAGCACTTTACGTTGGTAATTGCAACGCCTCAATATTCGCGCTTGCTTCCCGCCCTTCTATCAGCTCCGACAGCACAAGTCCAGTACCAGGCGCATGCGATATGCCCCAGGCACCATGACCCGCCGCTATATAAACACCGCCAGTTCTTTCATCTTTCGTCCTGATGCCTCCGAGCTTTTCGTCCGGTATCCGCGATACGATGGGTCGGCCGCTAGATGTGACTGGACGGAAGCACTGCCTGGGATTAGCAAACCAGTTCACCATTCCACTCTCAGTATCAACTTACCAAGCCTTCCCTCAAAATCTCCATGTCTCTGCCTGGGACGTTCACCATCATAGCCTTCGCACACTGTTTCAACTGCTCGATAGCCTTCGCACTAGCTTGAACGTCTGTTGCAACCTCCGGTAGAGGTATGTTTGTGCTATTGAGCCCGGCCAGGTACAGCTCTCCACCCAATCTCGCGAACCATTCTGGCGAGAAGCCAAGTGTATCTGTCGCGAAGACTGCGTGGCAGACTTCCTTGTCGAGCTCTTCGGGTTTGTGGTGTGGGTTTCGAACGAGCAGCGAGTGGCCAGCTAACGAGGAGACGGGGATGCGCGCTTTCGAGGATGGGAAGAGGGTGCTGAAGACGCGTGGAGACCACGCACCGGAGGTTATGACGAGACGGCTACATGGTACTGTTGTAGTTGGTTAGTAAGTGTGGAGTTGGGTGGTATGGATTGGGCCTTACACTCTGTCTCCGACTGTGTGCCATCACCCTCTGATATCCTCACACCGCGCAACACGTCTTCTGAGTCCTTGATGATGGCTGTCGCCGTCGCAGGCTGATGTATCGTGACCCCCCTTCTCTGAACTTCTTTCAGAAGCCACTGGCAGAATCTCAACGGATCGATTTGTGCGGTCGTCCCATCCCTACTTATAACCTCCATGATGCCTTCCTGTGTGCGCCGAAGCCATTCTGGTCCGGCAGCCTGTTCTTCCCAGGGCTTATTGTGATTCGCTAATTGTGCTCGACTCGTTCCATTCTCAAGCCAGTCTTCGCCGCTACCGCCAATGGCTGATTCGCTGTCTTGTGAAAGGGAGATTCCGGTGGACTGCGAGTATCCCCATGTTGTACGTCCGGAATGCGCGTTGGCGAGGTCGGCGTGAAGTTTGAAGGATAACGCGCCGAGGGAAGCTACGGATGGTGCGAACCCTACTTCGTAGTTAGACAAAGTGTTCAGGTGTTGAACGACGCGCCGCGCTGATGTTGCACGCGTCGTACGCTGCCAAACGTACAGTCGGCACTCAAGAAGCCCGCAGCAAGGCCAGACGCGCAATGGAATAACTTCGGACTCGAATCAACCAGATGAATACTCTTTGGATCTGTATTTCCACTTTCTGTGAGATAGTACGCGGTACACAAGCCGATGATGCCGCAGCCAAGGATAACGACGTCGTTGGCGTTCTCCCCACAAGAAGCATGGATTTGGCCTGGCATTCTGAACTTCACGCGGGGCAAACCGAGGGACACGGCAACAGCCTCGAAGCCGCCCGCCACCACGCCTTTAAGCACGCCAGCAAGTACTCTCGCGCAAGGCCGGCACACCAGCGGCGTCTCACATCACAGCATAATCATCATGTGTTAGATCATGTTGCTGCCCACCCAAAATACTAAACATCGTACGAGCTGTTCCGCACATCTTCGCTAACTCCACTGCACACCCCAGTCACCGTCCCAGACTCGGGTAAGTCGCATGAGCCGACATGGCCTGATTTCCCTCCTACACCTTCTGGAGCCCGGATCTTCGCTGCTTTCGATTACCGTTGGTTGGACTAACTGATGCAACACTCGGATGATCTGCGGACTGGAACTTTGATTACATGTACGGCTATTGGGTACAGTGGTGCCATCATGAGAGTTGGGGCACGCGAACGCCCCGCTACGCATGTGTGGAATGAGCTGTAAGACGCGTATGTGGAAGAAACTTGTGGGCTGCATTGATAACTATGGAGACTCTATCGATGGAATACTGTTTGCTGGGAAGGATGCCGGATGTACCGTTCCTGATCGGTCACTGTCACACTTTTCAGGGCCCGACCCGACCCAGCGAATTTAAACGACCCTGCATAACGAAGTGCGTACCCGATGATCTATGCACTGCCACCAAGATCCAACATGCCCTGGAAGGCTTCGTAGTCTTGCAAGGGGTTGTTGTGCTGCTCTTGCGCTGCGGAGATTGCGGGATCAGCCACGATAGCCTTCACAGGCGAGTCCGTATCCGGGCTGTGCGGATAGGTATTGTCCCACAGCCTGCGGATGATCATAGGCGCTTCGTTTTCGTGGTCGACGAATGCTCCAGGGATACGTGTACGAGGTACGTCGGCCGTCTCAGTCACACCAGTCACATGTCGGGAGCTGGAGCTTGACCCATAGCCGCTACCGTCGTAGAGCCCAGTATGCTCGCCCCAGGAACTATCACGCTTTCCCATCTTCACTTCCTCGGCGACGTGCCAACTTGGGTCAACATCCAGATATGCTGGAAGTTTTCCAGTAGCAAACGCCTCATTGAGCTCGCTGTCAGACACAGAGGTAAGCCCCGCATCCCGAATAATAGCGCTCAATTGTGATGCCAGCTTCTCTTCTTCTGCGGCAGCATACCTGATTGGCGTTTCATTGTTCCATCCACTGTCGTCGTCGTCATCTTCATTGCAAAAGGCAAGCAGCTTGATTTTCATGCGACACTCTCCGTCTGCTCGACGGTAGACGCTTGCCTGGTAGCCATTCTCAAGGATAAGCTGTGCATGCTCCTTTGGTGTCCTGTCTGTATTCGTTTCATTGGAGACCTTGGTGGTCGCATCCTCTGATGGCTTATCCGGGTTGTTGTAGACTGGCGAGTTATCGATACGATCTACCCCAGACGGATCCTCTCGGGCTGATGTCTGACCTAAGTCTTCGCTCTTAGCAGGAAGTGAAAAGCAATCGTCGATAGGCAGATAGTCGGATCCTGGGTTTGGAAAGCGAACGAGGGGCTCATTGAAGTAGACTGCAGCTTCCCGAAGACTGTCAGACAGAGCGCTTTTTGTTGAAGCTGGTTTTCTCATCGCTTCCAAACTTGGTTCGTACGCTTGGGTGTATGCTGGTGGCGAATGAATCATGGTCTTTTCTGAGTCCAGAATTTTCTGGATAGGTGCTGGTGATAGTGGAACAGTTCCATCTGGTATGAGCGATGAATCCGCAGGCGATTGCGGGATCTGTTCATAGGATGGTGGGACCGGTACCGGCGAGGAATGGTGGACATAAAGACTCGAGGTTCGGGGGTCCATGCGGTCAAGATCGAATATTGGTCTGTCTGGGGGAGACTCCTCGAAGTAGAGTAAAAGCGATGAGTTGAGGCGGTGCTTCGGGGTCAGCGGACTCTAGAGGACAGAGAGTCAGTGGTCGTTTCTCTGTTGTGGGGAAAGATACTTACACTATCCATGAGGCACTCTGATATATCAGACTGCTTGGTCTTGGTAGGTGAGCGCAAGCTGCGTAAAGAACCGATGCTCCGCAGCTTTTGCTTTCGCAACGAGCCCATTAGACCTTTGCGCATTGATGGACTCTCCCTGATAGGCGATTCGTCGCTAGAATCAGGTATAGTTGAGCTCGCGACAGGCGAGGACGGTCCTGGAGTCTCACAGCTTGGTGCATTGTTCTCGTTGTGCTTAGCGGAGCAGGGTGGCGAGGGACTTGACAATGTCAGCATAGCAAAGCAGAGATAGGAACATCTCCGACTCACGGAGCTATACTCATTCGAGAGAAGATACCGGTAAAGCTCCTCTTGGCACTGATGATGCGATCAAAAGGCATGGTGGCTGTTCGTCACTATCCCAGTCCTGCACTGTAGGTTCGGCAGTGTGGTTGAGGCTACGGGGTTAGTCGAACGGATGAGGCCACGAGTGTGTGGAAGCTGTTGGAGTCGGCGCTCTTGACATCTGATCCATGTTTGTTGATATACACGTCTGGTCCTGCCGGGTTGACTCTGTGTACTTCAAGGTGGCAAGTTCCAAGAGCGTATGGTGGTTTTGGCAGGATCAACCCCTCTACAGATCGAGCGGATGCAGACGACGCGCTCATAAAATACTCTGAACCCGTTTGTTCTAAGAGAAATAACTCCAGGCATCATGTTCGCTGGTATGATGTTGAAGAGACCTGTTCAACGAGCTCGTTTCTCATGATTCCCGTAATACCTAGGTGGAGATGCGGTATGCTTGGGGCTTCCCGAGGTCGTGCCGTTGCTTGGACATGACAGGTATTGACATCGTTTACTGCAGTGGGTATGATTGCTTGATCAACGATGGCCACTTGTGAGGTATTGGAGAATGTACGTTTAGTCTGGGGAAGACGTTGACGAAAACGCCTGGCTTGAGCTTGCACGTGATGACTGTGGGCCGTGCGCGGGACCCTTGCTTAGCTCTTTCACGTCGCGGTCCTTAGCATTCCTGGAGTGCAAGAGCATCGCTAACCACCGACACCGCCCTTCACCCAATTTGCATCCGAATCCCGAAGTTGTAGTTGCAAACACATCGCGACAACTGCTGCTAGCTTGAGCTGCGCCACATCAACGCCGTTTTCGACCAGCCACAATGGCGCGCGGCCGCCCATCGCGAGCTGCAGCGCGTCGCAGCACGCCTGTTCGCAGCGCAACACCCCAGCAAGACAGCGACGAGGATATGATAGATGCACCAGAATCGCGCGCCGACACACCCAAGGAAGAGGAAGAGGATGCTGAATCAGCAGCTCAGGGAAGCGACGAGGAAGCCGCACCCTCTGAGCGTTCACCTTCTCCAGCAGTTATCCAGCCGTTTCCGCGCAAGAAGCGTCTTGGTCGCCCTCCTAAGAACAGGCCACCGGACTGGAATGTCATCGAGCCCGACAACTCCGAAGGCGGCACGCCCGTCAAGCGCAAGCGGGGACGACCGTCTGGTGGAGGTCGAGGAAGGCCTCCAAAGGGAGGGCCGTCGCATACCACGCGCGTTCCTATAGACAAAGAGGGCAACATGATGGACGTAGTCAACGATGAGGTTGACCTACCAGAAGATGAAGAGGGCGAGCAGAAGGTCGACAAGCTGGGTAACCTCATGGGTGGACGAGACTATCGCGTGCGCATATTCACCATCAAGGGCAGGGGCGACAGACAGTACATGTTGTCGACTGAACCGGCTCGATGCTGTGGGTTTAGGGACAGTTATCTGTTCTTCACCAAGCACATGAAGCTCTACAAGATCATCATCGACGACGCTGAGAAAAGGGACCTGATCGACCGCGACATCATACCTCATTCCTACAAGGGTCGTGCCATCGGTGTCGTCACAGCACGATCTGTCTTCCGCGAGTTTGGCGCGCGCATCATCATCGGCGGCAAGAGGGTCATTGACGATTACTACGTTACAGCAGCAAAGGAAAGTGGCGCAGTAGAGGGTGAACTTGCAGACCCTAACGACAGGCTTCCACCTCCAGGAGAGCCATACAACAAGAACCAATACGTCGCTTGGCATGGTGCCAGTAGTGTCTATCACACCGGTGTGCCCAGTGTACCTACTGCAAATGGCAAGCCTGCCCCTGGAAAACGGAAGGTCAACATCACCTCTGCTAACTGGCAATTTGAGCATGGTCGCGCTGCAAGGTATGCATAAATTTTACACCAATCTATGACTACCAGGACTAACATACCCTAGTCGATTCAACTCGAACCTCTCCAAGCTACGGAAAGCAAATCTCACGGGCGTATACGACCCACATACCAACCTGATGTGTTATCCCAAGGTCACACAACCCACCCATGCACGTTGGGAGGAGGTTCCTGCGGAAGAGACCGACGTACCTCCACTCGTTCGTCGCAAGTATCTCGTGGTCGACTCGGTCTTCCAACAACCTCCCTTCGCCGGCCTGGGCATACCTGGGCCCGACGGTGACTTCGTTGACGTCGGTACCAACGGTCTACCGACCCTGGACGACGAGGACAAGTCGAACATGAAGCCCGAAGAACTACAAGCGTTTGAGCAGATCAAGGCTGAAGAACAAGAGTGGCGCAGCCAATGGGGCGGAGAGAGCACTGACGGTGCGAGAGTGAAACCGAAGATTGGTTTCGTGGGCGTTCCGGTTTGAGACATTCAAACTACATTGATGTCCCAAAACTGTTGTGCTCACATAATTCCATTAGATACCACTGCTGCTTCCAGGACGGGGCGAGGTTGCGAACGATGTAAAAATAGTTGCCATACCTGAGGCTGGGGGTACGACTCGATACACCTCAGTATATGCTTCCTCTTAACAGCAACAACCTCATCGGTCATGGTTATCAGTCTTTTACCTTCGGCGCATCTCGATTCATTGTTAATCATGTCGGTGTTCGACTGATATACTACGTTTATGTCGGAGCTCTACGGTGACCATAGACGGAGCACCAGGCGCTCCTTGATAGAGAACTTCCGACATATCTTCCATCATCTTTTTGT